AGTATGCAAACCAAACAGAACTTCTTACGTTGAATGGATCCATACCCACTATTAGAGCTAAACTCTCCTTCCTTGACAATTGAGAACTGGTAAGGAAGACTGGGTGTGCTCACGGGAGCTATAGCAAACTTCAGATAACGACTAAGACCTGGTCGTCCTGTTAAATCAACGCAGTGCTGTATCTCTAACTTGAGCCGTTTGAGGAGAGGCTTTGAGAGTGATGCTGCATACACAGCACTCACTAGCACAGTATTAGCAGGAAACTCAAACTGTCCTCCTACAAGAGCAACCACTGCTGCTTCTACTGTCTCAGAGGACAATAGGCTTCCTTCTTCTACTCCAATCCTTACACCATATTTCTCCCAATTCATCAGTTGAGCTTTGTCTCCTTGAATTAAGAACAGCTTCTTCTCTGCTACCTGGACATCACTCAGACAATCCAAATTATCTATCAATTGTATAAAATACACCAGTCATTAATACTCTTACCCATTGAAGGGATCAGGTAGTTAAATTGTAATCCAATGGTACTAGTCTCTTTGATTTGACTCCATTGCTCCCTCTCCTTCATTAGTTTGGCAGTATACAATTCATTATCAGCAACTTTAGTTTTCAGTTCTAAATATTCTCTCATATAATATACACATTGATGACAATACTCTAACCTTTAGTGATCTGTTTCTCCTTGAGATATTGTTCCTCTACTTGTTTCTTCTCTTCTTCTATTTCAGTTATATAAACTTCATAATCATCAACTTTAGCTTTCAGTTTCTCATTATCTTCTACATTAATAGACTCATCTAATATTATGTACTGATGATATACTAACCAGTAATGATCTGCTTCTCTTGTAAAACCTCTTCCAATTTCTCATTCATAATAACTAGTTTATTGCCATCAACTTTAGAGCCTAAAAAATCATACATGTAGTCATAATGTCCTATTGCAACATTTATCTTATTAAAGATACATCATACATGTACATGTACCTTGTTTATTGGCCTCAGTCAGTGCCTCCTGTAGTGATACTTTGTTCTGATCAGCCACTTGTAGTTCTTGATGTAAAGACTGGATGTATCTCTGAAGCTTCATTTCCTTCTCTGTGGGATATTTTATTAGCTGATCCATCCACCATGTTCTGGTCTTGCTGTATGATGAATACTTTTCTTGATATTTCTTACTAGTGAGATCATCACCATCCAGTACTGACTGTACTATCCACTCACCAGCTTCAATATATACTGAAATAAGGAATAATAATAACATTAATAAATTTTTAAAAAGTTGGTGGTAATCATCATTATAATGTGCTGTACATGTAATTTTAATAATAATAATAATTCTACCTAATTCAATTATCATTGTTAGTCTATTAGTATCAGTGATATATGTAACTATTGGCTTCTCCACTCTTCCTTTCCATTCAAACTCTTTACATCCTCCAACAATTACTAGCCACACACAGTGTGGTGACATTGTGACTGCTGTGAGTGAGTGAAAGTATCTACCAGTAACAGATTCAGGTAGAGGAATCTGTAGACAATGAGAAATATTACTGATAAATTTTATACAATGACAGTATATACATGTACATTTGTACATAATACATGTAAATATATACATGTACATGTACATGTACATGTACATGTACATGTACATGTACATGTACATACTGTATAGCGGGTTTATTTCGAGGATAACAAATTTCACAAATTTCGTGAATTTTTGAAGATTCGCGAAATTAAATTACTTGAAAATCAATTTAATACGGTACAAGATGGAAGAAAAGTAGCAGTTTGCGAAAATTAATTCCGTGAACCTCCGGATACAGACCATTCGCAAAAATTATTATTCTCAAAATAAACCTGCTATATGGTATCACAAATCAGTATATACCACCCACACATTACGTAACACTTCCTTGAAGTCGGCAAAACATTGGGATACACGTGGCCAGGCACACTCGCTGCCAAAAAGAAGGAAAACGTTGTGGATAAACACTATAAAGAGAAAAAAACTGAAAACCAACCAAACATACAAGACTATGTGGAGAACATTTTTGCCATGATCTAACTAATGTAATTTTCTAAGAAGGCCGGTTGAAAAACCTGCTGATATAGACTATGTCCCAACTGTTTTTGCCAATAAAGAAGGGACTAACAGTGTCAGCCAAAAAAAAAACAAGCTGCCTTAGCTGATGAAGAAGCTTTTAATAATAACACAAACTTTCGTCCTCCTTTTCCAAAGAGACAACAAAAAATTGTCCTAACATGTCCACTTTTGTAGTAATTGTAGGCCTCTAGTTGTTTTCAGGACATGAGCTGTTCTTAAGGTGGGTTCTCAATATGACGCATTGCTTTTCATGCGCTAGCGTTATGACCGGAAGTGCTGTATAAACCAATGGGAGTATGCATCAATGCGTCAGAATAGAAATG